AAATTGTAGTGTACAAAAAGTTTTGCTATTAAAATTTTTATATTTTTTTAAACTATATATGCAATGTAGGTATCATATGAAAGATCATAAAAAATTATGAATTTGATATACTTTTCATATAAATTGTTAACGGAAAATGAGAATTTACTACCTTGTGCGCCTTTTTTCATTCCTTTTACGCAGCAGGCAGCTGCTGCCCCAATGAATGCACCAAGCTTAGTATTGGATAGATGGCACCCTATTCACCCATGATCCATGTGAGATAAGAAGGAATAGATAAAAGGGAATGTAGCACGGTGCTGCGATCCCCGCAAACTCTATTCCATTAGATTTGTAGTTTTAAACTTTCAATTCAGTATCGTTTTCGAAATTGAATGTTTTGCACCTTATTGAATGAGAATCGTCTGATCTTCTCTTCCAAAGCTCTTGTCATATGAAAGATTACAAAAAAATGGAGTGCAAATAAAAAAGTTATAACACTTTAAAAAATTCTGTATAACTTTACAAACTATGGTAAATCAAACATTCAATCATGAGGGAAAAGATTTTCGATCATCATGATAGGCACTAGTTATTAGTGCCTAAGTGTACATTTTTATTATCATTTGTAATATTTATTCACTAGTATTATGCAAGTTTGTAGTTGTTAGTTTTCATTTGATTGTAATCGTATTTTTAGTACTTTATTGTTTGTTGTAAGTTATAGTTAGTTGAGCTATAAGTTTAGGATAGGTTTGGAAGCACGAAGGATGGAAAAACTTGAGTTTTATGCAAAACCCGGTCGGGTATGGACTTTACCCGGACGGGTATGAAGTGACAAAGGAAATTGCTGCAAAACTAGCAAATACCCGGTCGGGTATTCCATATACCCGGTCGGGTATGAAGTGATTTCGGACCAAAGATCATGCAGAAGACACAAAAACATGGGAAAATATTTGATTTGGTAAATACCCGGTCGGGTATGTCAAAATACCCGGCCGGGTATCCGGCATTAGGTGTTGAAAACACCTATAAATAACCCCATTTTCCTTCACTTTGAAACACTCCTTCTTCCATACTCTTAAGCTCAGTTTAGAATATTATTTCTTTTATATTTTTATAGCATGTTTAGTCTCCAAATGAGGAGCTAAACTTCCATTTCTTGGTATTGCTCTTGAAGCTTGTTGATTATTAAAGTTGTGAGTTATTTTCTTAACTTCTTTTCCTTGAATATTAATTCTTCCTTTAAATACTATTTCTATATCAATGTTGGGGAGTGTTACTAAGATGACAATTAGTTAACATCTTGACATTGGTTTTAGTAATAGCTATTCCTTCCTCTATGTTAATATCGGGGAGTGTTACTAAGATGACAATTAGTTAACATCTTGATATTTAACTATAGTAGGATTCATTCCCTTTAATATTCTTCCTTGAGTATTAATTAATTCCTATTCATATTTCATATTAATATTTTGAACATTACTTAAAGGATCAACTAGTTTTGTTTCATATATTAATTACTACTAGACATGATCAACGAACCGATGGTTAATCGTTGATAGTTTCACAAGTAAGTAACTTCGGTTTATTAATGCACGGTCGTGGTTAATAGACTTAAGAGGGATTAATTTTATTGGTTAAACCGAAACCGTTGTGTTAAGGTTATCAATCTCAATTGATTTCATCAAGGAGTTAAAAGATTAAATGCTACTATCAAGTCAGTATATGGCGTTGTTCTATACTTGACTAATAGTAAGGGTTATTAATGAACGGTCGTTATTAATAACTATCCTCGATGAATTGGATATACTCCTCGATTGAGTATTCGAGAGGAGATAAGTTATAGATATAACAATGATCGACTAAAATATATCAACAAGTGGAAAGTAGCAATACCAAGTCAATTTTATCTTTGAATTAAATCCCATATAAATCGTTCATCTTCGTGTTTAAATTTAATTAAATCACTCAACAATCAAAACCCCCCTTTACTTACTATTTATATAAAAAGAAAATTATTCCTTTCCCTGTGGATACGAACTCTACTTCACCTATACTACGTATAAGTGTTGTATTGAATATTATTTTGAGTGCACCTCACGACAAGTGCACGTCAAATTTGGCGCCGTTGCCGGGGAAAGGCAATTTATTTTTCTTTTTATTTTATTTTAAGAAAAAGAAAAAAAATATTACCTAAATTTAGAGATTTCTATTCCTCTGAGCTTTGTTTGAGTATATGGTTAAGCACCGATCTATAAACCAAATCACCTACCAAACAAACCCCAAAACAGAACAAGCCTTCGAGAGGTTTAGGAATTTATTTCCGAATACTTCTTCGGAGGAGTCATCAAGTGCTAGTTCTTATTCTAGCGAGAACGAAGAGCCAATCACTATGGCTCAAGAAACAAGAACATTGAGGGAGCTCACGGCTCCTAACTTAAATCAACAACCTCTATGTATCACCTTCCCCACTCTTGATGAAGGTGCTACATTTGAGCTCAAATCAGGCCTCATTCATCTACTCCCTTCATTTCATGGCCTAAGGGGCGAGGATGCAAACAAACATCTTGCGGAGTTTCATATAGTTTGCACTAGTATGAAACCAAATAATGTCACTGAAGAACAGATCAAACTGAGGGCCTTTCCATTCTCACTGAAAGACACGGCTAAGGATTGGCTATTCTATCTTCCCTCGGGAAGCATAGAGACATGGGCGGCAATGAAAAAATGCTTCCTAGAAAGGTACTATCCCGCCTCCATCTCATCATCTTTGAAAAAACAAATAAGTAACATTGATCAAAAAGATGATGAGACCTTATATGAATATTGGGAACGGTTCAAAAAGTTATGTGCTAGCTGCCCTTATCATGGCTACACCGAGCAAGACCTCATACTCTACTTTTACGATGGTCTTGTTGATGATGATAGAAGAATGGTGAATGCTGCTTGTGGGGGTGGCATTGTCAACAAAACCCCCTCACAAGCAACAAACTTGATCTCGGAGTTGGCCGAAAATTCTAGACAATACAACGGGCGGTCCTCAATCCGTAAAGTTGCCGCGGCGGAATCATCTTCATCTTTGGAAAGTCAAATGGCCGGCTTGACTTCTTTGGTTAAGGATTTCCTCTTAAATCCTAGAACCCAAGAGGTCAAGGTCTGCGGCATATGCACACAGCAGGGGCATTCAACCGATTCTTGCCCAAATCTCCAAGAAGAGCAAGTCAATGCCTTGGGTTTTCAATCTCATCAACAAAAGAGGTACGATCCACACTCTAACACTTACAACCCCGGGTGGAGAGATCACCCGAATTTGAGATATGGGAACCCTCAACCACAACAAAATCAGCCCTTTCAACAATCCTTCCCAAATCACCAAGGCCAAACCTCAAGCTCAAATATGTCCACCGAAGACATGATCCGAGCACTTGCCACCAATATATCAACGATGCAACAAAGTGTGGCTCAATTCCAAGAAACAACGAAATCCAGCATCCAAAACTTGGAAAATCAAATGAGCCAAATCTCAATTGCGGTGAGCCGACTTGAAGCAAAAGACTCGGGTAAACTCCCATCTCAAACGGAGCAAAATCCGAGACAACATGTTAATGCAATCATGTTGAGGGATGAGACAACATTAAAAGAGGTGCATGAGGAAGAAAAACAAGCTCAAAATGGGGTTGATCCTGGAGAATATTTTCAACCAAACGAGGAGGAACCAACAAAAACTAAATTCCCTCCACTTTCATCATATGAACCACTCCCTCCATTCCCTGAGGCATTGAAAAACACAAGGAAACTGAAGAATGATCGGGACATCTACGAGACCTTCGCCGATTCTGAGGTAAACATCCCACTCTTCAAACTAATCAAAAGTGTTCCCCGTTATGCAAAGTTCTTAAAGGAACTATGCACAATGAAAAAGAAAAATAAACTGGAAGGGAAACAAAAAGTTGAGGTTAGTGAACGTGTCTCGGCCATTTTTCAAAAGAAACTTCCAAAAAAATGTAGCGACCCGGGCATGTTCACCATTCCTTGCAAAATAGGGGACACCAATTTTTCTAAGGCCTTGTTGGATTTAGGAGCATCAATAAATGTCATTCCTTATTCCTTGTATAAATCCTTACAACTCGGCCCACTACATCAAACTGGTGTAGTGATTCAACTAGCAGATCGGTCTAATACTTACCCGAAGGGTGTAGTAGAAGATGTGCTAGTAGAAGTAGAAAATTTGATTTTCCCTGTTGATTTTTATGTTCTGGAAATGGGAGATGATAACCAAACAACGCCCATTCTTTTGGGAAGACCCTTCTTGAAAACTGCTAAAACAAAAATTGACGTGTCTAGTGGTTCATTAACAATAGAATTTGATGATCAAAAAGTAGAATTCAACATCTTTGATTCTACCGAAAAACAAATTAAAGATCAATCTCTTTGTTCTTTAAATGTTTTTGAACCACCACCAACACTAAATATTTTTGTTGGAGAGGAAACAAAAAAATTCTCAATTTTTAATGAAATAAAAATTGAGCCAAAAAAATCTGTTTTGAAAGGAGAACTTAAAAAGTCACCTCAGCACGAGTTAAAACCATCGACACTTGAGGTGGTGACAAAGAAGAAAATTCGGCCTTACTGGAAACGGCCGAGGAAGAAAAATGAAACGAGGGATGCTCACGATCCCACTTAAAACAGAAAAATAAAATAAAAATAACGTCGTGCCGCGACATTAAATAAAGCGCTTCTTGGGAGGCAACCCAAGCAAGGTATGTTTTCTATATCATTTTTTTGATTTAAAGAAGGGTGTGTGAGTAAAAAAAAAAAAGAAAAAAAGAAAAAAAGAAAAAAAATGTTTTTTTTCATGCCTGGGCAAAAACCCGGCCGGGTAAACTATAAAACCCGACCGGGTAAACGGGCAAAACTGCCTCTACTTAAGCAGAAACGAAAAACCCATTCGGGTAAAACCAATACCCGGCCGGGTATACGGGCATTTTAACCCCAAATCAGCCCCAAACCTTCATCTTCTTCCCCAAATGTTGAGAGCTCATTCCTAAAACCTCCATTGTTGAGTCTCCAAGCTTCGAATCCGCCCCTTTTCTTCCTTTAAAAACCAAAATTAACACCATAATATTCTTCCCCACATCACCCTCTCCAATTCTACACCAAACACAACCATCAAATCCCCCTCAACCCCAAAATCCGAAAACCCTACCCAAACTCTCCAAGGTCCGATTTTTGCTCAAATTAATCCAAAGAAAACCCAATTTCATGTTCTTTCCATCATTCTCTATATCTCCACACCCTCAAAAACACCCAAAACCGAAAAATCCGAAATTTTTTTTAAAACCCTCCAAGCCAAGTCCGAAATTCCTAAACTAAGTTCAAGCAAAAGGGCAACTATGGCACCAAAGAGAACTAGAGCATCTTCCTCCAACTCAAGTGCTCCAATTCCGCAAGTTCCCGGGTATGAAGGCATCGAATTCACCTCTAGGGCTCATCACAAGAAATTTCTCACCCAACTCATCCGAGAGGTACATTCAACCCGATTCCTTTGTCATGAAACATTGAGAGCATTGATGTTGTATGATATGATGCTAGAATTGTGCAACAACATAGGACTTACTACATTGTTCAATTTATCATATAATATCCACAAAAGAATTATGTATGAATTCCTAGCATCGGTTGAATTTACTGAAAACATGGAGGACACCTATGAGAGCACACTCACGTTTCGGTACAACAACATACCAAGAACTTTAACAAAACGTGAGTTTGCCGAACTATTTGGTTTACCGGTTTTAGGTGTGGAGGAAAGAAAGGCAAGAAATGATAAAACAATTGTGCATGACTTATGGCGAAGAATGACAGGGGTTAGGGTCTTTAAATCCTCACATATGCATATTACACATGTTCAGCACCCTGCCCTTCGAATTGCACTAAAATGGTTTGGGTATAATGTCTTTGGGAAGCCAAATAATCATCAAACAAGGATTAGTGAATTGGCCGTTCTTGCTATGGGTATCTTCCCAGAAGCGCCTAGATTGGATGTTGCTTCATGTTTATGGGAACATCTAAAAAACCAATGTGAAACTATGGGGGACGTCTACATAGGAGGGTACATGCACCATATTTGTACCAAATTTGGCTATCAGGCGAATAGAGAAGTAGGAACATGGCATTTCCTTAATCTTGACTTTCTACTCACTGCACATGATTTGAGTCACTCCCACACTATTGGTACCACAACATTTTACCATTGGACCATATACCCCTCACCCACACACGTTTTTACAATCCCCTCCGACGAACTCCCCAACATTTTTAACCATCAACTCGGGGATGGGAGACACCTTTGCTTACCCGGAACCACCCCTGACCACTATCTTGATGAAATCCCTCAACTTGAGCCCCCACCCATCCCCAACCCACCACAAGACCAACCCCAAGCCGAACCCCAACATCCTCAATACAGTCCTTTTGAGCAACAGATGCTCCAAAGCATGAATTCCCTGAATCTCAACTACACCCAATTTCGGGAGGAATTTGGACTGTTTCACACTGAGCACAGACAGAGTATAGAGCGATTGGAGGCACAACTACAAAACCAGCGGCAGCAATACGACGACGACCGCAGGAGGTATGAAGAGGATCAAAGGAGAACCTACGGCCCTATATACTCCTACATTGCACATCAAGGTTCCTTTTCTTCTATGGCCACTCCTCCCCCACCACCCTCTTGGTATGACCCCACAGCATGGGGTACTTTTGGTGGTTCGACCTCAGGCGGTGGAGGCGGTGGAGGCGGTGAAGGCGGTGATGGCGGCTATGGAGGCTACTTTGACGGAGGAGATGCGGGCGGGCACTAGGGACAGTGCCATGAACTAGCTGGGGGGGAGAACTATTCCGGTATGCTCCCATTTCATGCTCTTCATTCTTATTTTCTTAAAAAAAAACAAAAAAAAAAATTATAAGCTTGTTAGGTTGAAAACCCAAAAGGGCAACTTAAGCAAAACAAAAGCAAAAAGAAGAGTGAGTTGGTGAGAATAAAAAGGAAAATGTGGGAAGCTGGGATGAAAACCCGAAAGGGCACCTAGGCAAAATGAGAGAATGAGAGAAAGTATTTTCTTTTATCTTTGCAGGATCCTAAGGGCATATACATGAGGAAGCAAAAGAAGGGAAAACCAATGGTGTTGAAAACCCTTTTATGTGTTTTGATCATTGAAACATTTTTATGTTGACTTTCAAAAACACTTGTGAATGGTTGTGATTGCTACTATTGTTGGTTTGTAAACTTCATGGACAGGATTTGTTTTACTCGAGACGAGTAAAAGTTCAAATGCGGGGGTGTTTGATAGGCACTAGTTATTAGTGCCTAAGTGTACATTTTTATTATCATTTGTAATATTTATTCACTAGTATTATGCAAGTTTGTAGTTGTTAGTTTTCATTTGATTGTAATCGTATTTTTAGTACTTTATTGTTTGTTGTAAGTTATAGTTAGTTGAGCTATAAGTTTAGGATAGGTTTGGAAGCACGAAGGATGGAAAAACTTGAGTTTTATGCAAAACCCGGTCGGGTATGGACTTTACCCGGACGGGTATGAAGTGACAAAGGAAATTGCTGCAAAACTAGCAAATACCCGGTCGGGTATTCCATATACCCGGTCGGGTATGAAGTGATTTCGGACCAAAGATCGTGCAGAAGACACAAAAACATGGGAAAATATTTGATTTGGTAAATACCCGGTCGGGTATGTCAAAATACCCGGCCGGGTATCCGGCATTAGGTGTTGAAAACACCTATAAATAACCCCATTTTCCTTCACTTTGAAACACTCCTTCTTCCATACTCTTAAGCTCAGTTTAGAATATTATTTCTTTTATATTTTTATAGCATGTTTAGTCTCCAAATGAGGAGCTAAACTTCCATTTCTTGGTATTGCTCTTGAAGCTTGTTGATTATTAAAGTTGTGAGTTATTTTCTTAACTTCTTTTCCTTGAATATTAATTCTTCCTTTAAATACTATTTCTATATCAATGTTGGGGAGTGTTACTAAGATGACAATTAGTTAACATCTTGACATTGGTTTTAGTAATAGCTATTCCTTCCTCTATGTTAATATCGGGGAGTGTTACTAAGATGACAATTAGTTAACATCTTGATATTTAACTATAGTAGGATTCATTCCCTTTAATATTCTTCCTTGAGTATTAATTAATTCCTATTCATATTTCATATTAATATTTTGAACATTACTTAAAGGATCAACTAGTTTTGTTTCATATATTAATTACTACTAGAAATGATCAACGAACCGATGGTTAATCGTTGATAGTTTCACAAGTAAGTAACTTCGGTTTATTAATGCACGGTCGTGGTTAATAGACTTAAGAGGGATTAATTTTATTGGTTAAACCGAAACCGTTGTGTTAAGGTTATCAATCTCAATTGATTTCATCAAGGAGTTAAAAGATTAAATGCTACTATCAAGTCAGTATATGGCGTTGTTCTATACTTGACTAATAGTAAGGGTTATTAATGAACGGTCGTTATTAATAACTATCCTCGATGAATTGGATATACTCCTCGATTGAGTATTCGAGAGGAGATAAGTTATAGATATAACAATGATCGACTAAAATATATCAACAAGTGGAAAGTAGCAATACCAAGTCAATTTTATCTTTGAATTAAATCCCATATAAATCGTTCATCTTCGTGTTTAAATTTAATTAAATCACTCAACAATCAAAACCCCCCTTTACTTACTATTTATATAAAAAGAAAATTATTCCTTTCCCTGTGGATACGAACTCTACTTCACCTATACTACGTATAAGTGTTGTATTGAATATTATTTTGAGTGCACCTCACGACAAGTGCACGTCACATCACATTTGTGATATTCTACCTACTCTAAACCTTATTCCACCCATTCTACACCCATTTTTATCTAGAGTTCTATGCTTTCTTAATCAGCAACCTCGTGATCCAAAAATAGTAGTACGAAATATGGGTAAAATATTGTGAAAAATGGGTAGAATATGGTGCGTGGTGTCGTTTCCTAGTGTCTTTCCTACTGTTTTATGCCTTCATAATCAGCACTCTCCTGATCCAAAAACAACAGCATGGTATCGTTTTTGGAATATGGGTAGAATGTGGGTGTTGAATGGGTACAATATGGTGGAAAATGGAAAGTAGTAAGTATATAACGGGGTGAACATCATAAGCATGATGATTCGAAAATGTTGTTCATGTTTTTATTACAGGTAGAATAAAGAGTAGAACGAGTAGAATGAATTAAAACATCCTTCCAAAAATAAAGGAATGAATTAAAACATCATTTTTAAACTTTATTTACTCAACATTTGTGTCATAATGAAAATCATAAAAAGTTTGAATTTAGATATATTTTCTATAAAAAATAGAATACAAATAAAATATTATGTCATTTTAAAAGCAACGAGAGTTTCTTTTTTTTTTTTGGCGAGCAGTTTCCTCATTTTGGTGAGCAGCAGTCTGCAGGCTGGGAGAGGCAACAACATGTTGTGCGAAAGGAATGAAAATGATGGGTCAGGCAAAAAATAACAACTTTTGTCAAGTATTGTAACTTTTTTATTTGTAGTCCAGTTTTACAAACAACAAATCAAAATTCTTAATTTTTTATTATCTTTAATATAACATCAATATTGCATATATAAAGTTTTAAGAACATATGAACTTTCAATTGCACGAGATTTCCAGACTCAAATTTTTTCCTAAATAAATTGAAGTGCTAAAATTAAGATCTCATATTTAAATTAAAGTGACAAAATATGAGTTGTAGAAGTAGAACTTTGTTAAACTTCAAATATGTGTCCCCATTCCACTCTACTACCAATTCAACCCTTACACATTCTACTCATTCAACTCTCTACACATTCTACCCATTCAACCTTCTATTTTAACTTATTCAACCCTCTCAAGTTGAGTAAAAAAAAACCCGAGAATTTTAACTTATTCAACCCTCAGTCTCAACATTCTTTCCATTCAAGCATATACCAAAATTAAAAATAATAAATTTTTAATTGTTAAATGTTTTTAAACCCATTTTTTTTTAATTTTTCTTGAATAAATCCAAGAGCTAAAATTAGGATCTTATGGTTATTTGTTTAAAATCTTCCAGTTATTGATTTTAAAAAATACTACGTAGGTATGAAATAACAACAATTAAAATTAAACTCCCAATTTTAAGGAAATAATAAAGAAAAAGAAAAATATTAAGAACAATTATTAGGTGATTTTATTATGGAAGTGTTCATAAGTCTTCATACAAGAAGATGAGGATTGAAACGTTTTTTCCTCCCAAAATATCAAATAATGCATCTCATTTACACAAAATTCACAAAAACTGTTCCGGAAAAGTTAAAAAAGATGAATGAAGAATCTGGAATTTCATATCCGGATCTTCCAGATGGGAGCAGGAGCAACCGGCCGGAGCCATCCACGTCCAGCCGTGCGTCATGGATTTAAGCTTGCTATCCTGTAAAATTCCCTATACAATCTCCAGATCTCGCCGCCGCAGAGCTGCCGCCGTGCGCCGTGAACTGAAGTTTGTCGTCACTGCTCTAGTTACAGAAGTCGCGGCCAATAAGTGTCGTCTTACAGCTCGTGAGAGAGACGAATGACTCAAAGTATGGGCCTTACTACTTCTGTTGCAGCACTTGCCTTGCTCTTGGTCGTTTCGCCGCTTTGTTGGTCGCCCTCACGTCTCAACAAACTGTTATAGTAGCTCGATGGTCTTCATCCGCCATTAACGACTACCTGAGAGCTCTCTGCTCAAGACCCAGGCAGCAGCAACTGTAAATTTCTCAAAAGTGCGGACAAGAGCAATAATCTTACTAAGGCAATAAAACAAACACTTTCAGGGCAAGAATGAAACTGCCTGGTGCGTATAAAAGTTAAGAACGATGCTTTCATTAAAGAGGACTAGATTCTCACCCGTGCGATGCACGGACATATATTAAGTAATTATTATATAAAATGAGTTGTTAATACTATTAGTTGTGTTTAAAAGATTTACCTTGATCTCCGCCACCCATGGACAGCTCATATACACTTTCTACCTAATATTCATTGGACTAAAGTGCAGGGATATCGGTGTAGCAACTCAGCAATGAATGCATCATTTAATGAATTGTACTTTTGATCAGCATACAACCCAGACCCGTTTTCTGTAGCCCGACCCGTATTTGGCCCATCTCTTTGGGCGGGAACACTGTTCATTTTTCATCTTGCTTTTGTATAATAGAAGATATTCCACATACAAAATTCAAAGACCAAAACCTGCTGCGATTTAAATAAAAGGAAAAATAGCTAGCTAACAGAGGGCTACTCCTCAACTCTGAAAATCAGGAAGAAAACTAACCAATTAAGCCATAAAACAGGATTTAATCCCATCTCCAGATTTTGCCTCCAAGATGTAGCGCAGGTAAAACCCAACAGACCAATGGAGAAATGTTGCAGAAAAATGGAAAAGAAAGGATGAAAGAGAAAATGGAAGAAAAGTAAGTTGAAATACGAAGTATATTACTCCTAAAAGAAAAAAAGTAAAGTGAAAAGTTTAAATGTAAATGCCAGAATGTAAAATAAAAGAATGATATGTTTAATGAATCCAAATGGAACAATATAAGTGGTCCAACTCACAGCCTACACCGGTGTAGGTTATTTACAACCTATGTTAGGTCCCTCAGACTTTGATTGTTGTAAGAAATAGTTTTGATGATGTCATCCTCCTTTTTTGTTTAGATTTTCTATTCAAAATTGTATACTCATTATGCAAACTGTAGTGTGCTCCAAAATTGGATAGAGTATTCACCGTACCATAAACGAAAAGAAACAAAAGAATCATTTGAAATTTAGAAAGTACTAAAAATACAATGTAAAGTGACAAGATTTAAAATGTACAATTTTATGTCAAATTAAATATACTGGAAGTATAAAATGCAATAAGGTAAAATTCCACCTTACAAGGATATTCAATTCCAACCAGTATGTTTTTATTTGTTATAGAATTATTCTTGTCACTAGTACAATTGTGACCAATTTTACATGTACACTTTTTATATCAAATAAATTGTACTGGAAATATAAAAAGCAATAATGTAATTTTCCTTTACCTTAAAAGGATATTTAAATCCTACCAGTACAAAATTATTTGATACAAAAAGACTAAAGTCACGAACTTACTAAGTCCACTATATCTATAAAATCACGAGACACTACACATGCAGAGTTGCATGAGAAGCCAAAACCTACAAGTAGGTGAATAGTGCGTACAAGGCCTAAGGTATGGGTTTACATATCCT